ATTGTCACGTAAGTAAAGAATACCCGAGGGATGCGTCTCGGGTATAAGAATATCTAATGTGAAAAAGGTGTCCGGGTTGTTGTCGAAGTTTATTTTTGTTAAGGGGAGTTTCTTTTTTTTAGTTTGGTACGGGTCAGAGTTCTTGTTTCGTCTTTCATTTTTTTGTATTTGGAGTCAACGACGAGACATTTTCGTCTATTTTGTAGAGTCGGTTCAAAGTATGTACAAACCCGAGTCCGAGACTCGACCCCCTCCAAGCACGTTATTGGTCGCCCCTTTTTGTCCTATCAGTGTTTGCTTGTTTTGTTGGTTCCCTTTGCCTTGAACTCAAACTGTGCGCACAGGATCTCCTATGGGACCTTTATTTTATGTGTTTTTTTTTTTTTTTCAAAAGAAATGAGATAGTGTTTAAATATATATTTTTATGATTTAAGGTATTATTTTATAGAAGGATAAATCTTTTATAGTCAAAAGGGAACTTCATTGCCTTTATTTAGTTTATTTTGTAATTTTAGATTTTACTTATGGTTGTGTAATATTATCTTTAGATTTGTGCTATATATAACATATTATAACCTGAATCTTTTGTTATATTTCTTATTTTTTACGACACTCTCGGTACCGTCTCAGTAATATAAATTCTGGTAATAGTTTAGTAATGGAATCTGTAATACTGGAGAGCCACAGTGGGAGTCCTTTGTGTTGTGTTGTGTGTGTGTGACTGTCGGGTAAAACCAAAAAATAAAGGTTAAACAAAACACTCTTTCAATTTTATACGCATGTAGCAACTTATACATACAAATCTTAAATTGAGTGACATAAGAAATCTTAAGCCAAGTACTTACTTGTGGAAAACAGAGAGGCAGATAAAAGGAATACTACTACGAAAAGTTGCAAGAAACCAAACAGAATAATAAAACCATTACTTACCCTTATTTCTTAAGTTTCAGGATAAAAAAGCAACGTAGGGAAAATATTAATTATATTTTATTTATCGTTGATTTTCTGTCAAATGTTTATGTCTGTCTAATCATCCCCAAAGTAAAAGTCTTATTGTGAAAAAAAAAAAAAACATCACGCAACAAAATTAACAGGCGGTGTTCATCGTGACGGTTCGAGAAGTAAATTATTTTATGTGGCTTGAACATAGCATTTTTATAGGCAATCATTTAAGCTTTGTTAGTTCCAGGTTTAATATGTGCAATAAGTTCATTTCGATAAGTTTTGCTATAAACATTGAACCAGTCCGGCCCTCGACTAGTACCCATTTTTTTATTTTGGCCCACTGTGTGTTTGAGTTTGACACCCCTGATCTAGGAAGACATTTCTGTCGTATGATTAATGATGCAGCATGAACTGTGCTGAAATAGAGAGACATGCTAAGGGTGGCTACATGACACATTTATCAAAAATAAGGATCTCTTATGATGGTGTTCAGACCTTCTGACTAAAACCTGTTGAAACAAGTTTTAAGTGAGCAAACTGTTTCCATCGTGAGGGGCTATTCTTGAGTTGCTCGTGTGGTGATGTCCCCGAGGGTCCAGAGGACAGAGAAACACACACTCGTCTCCTCGCTCAACACAGACCTACTTCCTGCCAGCGTCCAGCTAAGAGAGAAGCCTTGGCAAGTGTTTACCTATATTTGTGACAGAAAATTGTTATAATTTGTATTATATATTTTCTTATAATCTAAAAGAACACATGATCACGCTAAAAAAAACAACCTTATTCTCACGCTGTTTTTTTAAGAGACACTTTTTAGAGTTGTTTATTTTTCTTCCTTCCTGTTTCTCCCTCCTTCTCCCCATCACTTCACATTCATAAGAAATCAACGGGAACTTAAGTTTAGGCTCAACCGACTAATGGAAGGTTTTGTTTGCTGGTGTGTGTGTGTGTTATTATGTTAGAGGAACAGAAAAAAACACAGAGGGACAGACCTGAAAGTGTGTGTGTGCATTTGTCCTGGGATGTGGTAGAGCAGGATCTGTGTGTATTAATGATTGAAACGTTTGCTGTTGTTAACTGTAAGGTGTGAGTTTTCTGTGTCTCTAATATGTGTGTGTGTGTGTGTGCTTAGTAAGCGTCGGTCCTGTAGCTTTGGTGGGCATCAGCGGTGAGCTGGGTGGTTTCTGTGGCTGAGGACGGCTGCATCACGATGGGCTCTCCAACACCATCTGGAGAGAACACACACGTAAACACACACATTAGAGCACGTGCAAACCAAAACTAAATATATGAGACCCGAACAAAAAGATCCCTGGCCTCACCTCTCTCGTCAGCGGTCATCTGGGCCTCCAGGTCCTCGGGGGACACGTAGAACTCGGGCTCCTGGTCCATGGGCGGCCGAGGTTTGCACTTTCCGCAGCAACAGTTACAGCAGCAGCACAGGCAACAGCAGCAATAACAGCCTGTGGACAGGCAGCAGAACACGAACAAGGCCTAGGGGGGGGGAGGAGAGAGGAAAAGGGTTAAAGGTCCCCTATTATACTGTTTTTCATCAATATGTTATAGGTCTCAGATATATACAAACATGTCTCTGAAGTGTTTGGCTCCAAATACAAAACAGATCATTGCAGCATTACCCATAATCCCCTCTGTTTCAGCCCTGTTTCAAAAGTGCTGCTTCTCTGTCTGTTACTTCAGATGAAAATAAGGAGCCCCTCCCCACGCCCCTCTGAGAGATATTTGGTTACAAAGAACTCAATGGTGCTCTAGGAGGAGATTCAGGTGATAAGGTGGGGGNNNAGCAGGGGTGTCAAACTCAAATACACAGTGGGCCAACATTTTAAAAATCGGTACTAGTCGAGGGCCGGACTGGTTCAATGTTTATAGCAAAACTTATTGAATTGAACTTATTGCACATATTATACGTGGAACTAACAAAGCTTAAATGATTGCCTATAAAAACAACATTACACATTAAATAATCAGTTGCATTCATTTCTTATGGCTCTATCTGCAGCTTTTCCGGAGTCATTTCTTATGATTACATTTTCCCACAGGCCAACAACAGCTTCAAAAAAACCATTTCCCTCAAAGAAAAAACCAAACATGCCGTGTTGTCTCAAGAAACAAAGTGCAGAAGGAAACATCCATGTAAACTCAGTGTGCTGCTCTGTGATGCTGGTTCAAGCCAGATACTTGGCATCTCATCTCGGGTGCAAGTTCATCAATGTTTGGGCTCAGGCTCTGAGCTGAGGAGACCCTCAGGATGGAGTGAAGGTGGTGCGTGCAATATACCGGCGGGCCAGATCTAATAGTAATTAGAAATTATCCTGCGGGCCGAAATGAAATCCACCAAGGGCCTGATTTGGCCCCCGGGCCTTGAGTTTGACACATGTGGTTTAAAGCCTCTCCCAAATGGCACCATAATAACTAATCATCACTGTATTCTGCTGTGTCCCATAGACTGTATATATAAAGGTGTGTCCTCCTGAATAAAACAAAC